CACACACACACACACACACACACGGACAGACTTACCTGTAGGCTGGAAGTGTCTTCTTGCCGTATCTCAAAGCCTCCTCCCACAGTCCCAGGTGAACGGCGGTGTCTAAAGCCATGTCTGTAATCCTGAGCTTGTAGAGATTCTCATCAGGAACTTCATCACTGACAGCTGCCAACAGATGGCTGCAGCTCTCTAACAACTCTTTCCAATCTAGACAAAGAATTAAGGAAAAGTAACACTTACGCTAGTCGCCTGAAAGCAGAAGTAAACCTGGAGACTACAGAGGACAGCGTAAAGTATTTATGGAAAACACTTTGCATAAATCTATTATTCTAATTTTATGTAAAGACACAATTAACTCATGTCTGTCTTTTCTTCTCTTTTCTGCTCTTTCATGATAAAAACGGCTTAAGGGCCAGATTTATGAACATGAAAGCGCTGCACCACATTTAATTAGAGTCTTAATTGCTTAGTAAATCATGTCCCGAGTCTCGACTGCCAGCCAACGCCTAAACCTATCTGTGAATGGAAAAATTAATACCGCTACTATCTCACTCGCACATTAAATTGCGATCTAAGATTGTAGCAAGTCAGCAAATTTGTCTTTGGGCGCCCTAATTAATTGACTTTACTGCTGTAATGTTGACTCATGCATGAACACCACGTGTACTGAAGACACATCATATGCCAATCTATAAGATAATGTCTGCAACAGGAAGTTGAAAGAATAAAATGACAACAATTAGTCAGAACCAAAGAGTTTAAATTAAACAGCTAGACTGAACGCCGTCCATCCCGTCCACTGTTAGCATCTGTGACATCGTGGAGGAGCAAAGATGGCGTCCAAACAGGGCGACAGCTCCCAGCTGACAAAACATTGATTTGATTAACAGCAAAACCAACTGGATCTGTGTCACCAATTATCTGTAATTGTTTAATAATAAATTAATACAATTTTTAATCATCTTAAATTCATTCAATGATCATGTAAAACAAATAAATAATTTCTAAGTAACAATGATCGTAAAAGGGCAATATTATGTGTTTCTCAGGCATGTATTAAAATAGTATATCATAATAAAGTATGTCACCTTCAGTTGTTATTAAAATGTTGTTTATATGGTTAAATAGAAAAAAAACTTGACTTCTCATCATACCTGTTTCAAAACACATTGAAATAGCCTATGTGCCACGGCCATTGATGACTTATTTCCGTTAAAATTCCAGCCCCGCACCTCTCTTCCATTTCCTGCTTACTGCCTTTGTTTTTAGCGTTAGCTGCTAGTACTAGTCCGTGAAAAAGTCACAAAAGTTAAAGCATCTGTGATCTACTGGTATAAAACATGAGTTCTGTTGTGTGCCGTTGTGTCCACTAACCAGCAGGTACGATCGAGTAGTTAGTTTTTCTCCATTTTCCTCTTGATGAGGAGGTGACAGCAGTGGATCAGAGCATTACAGGCAAAACTTATCTTTAAAAGCTCACGCTTGCGTTTGTAATCGGCATTTCTAACCTGAGGATATTCAAGAGCCAGCATCAGAAATGAGAAGACGGAGGTTACAAAAGGGAAATGTACATTTATCCCCTTTTACTGCCAAGACGAGAGAGGAAAGACCACCTCCAGAGGACAGCTAGGACACAACAGCCAGTACAGGTAGGTGTGTGTGTGTGTATTTGTGTTATACAGAGTATGAAATTATTTTAGGCAACTTTGTCATGAGTTTTATGCAAAAATAAAAACTTGTTAGAGTGTATACAGTATTACAGCATAGACAAAACA